AGATAAATAAAGTAAATTAAAGTATCGTATCTAGAATTAAAGAAGTGTTTAGATGGAATTAAAATCAAATAGTTTTAAAATTACTTTTATGATGTATGAAATAAATATGTGGAGGAATTTTGTTTTGTTTTTCATAAAATCTTTCCAACACCCCCTTGAGAACAAGTTAAAAATCAAGTTAGTTCTTAAGGATTAAAAGTAATTTCAATTAAAATTATATCCTATTTTCACGGTCATGTCAAGCACACTTTTCTTTCACTTGCAGTTTTACTTCTACTTTCACGTTCATTTTCACTTCCATCAAAAACTCTTTTACAAGCTCCTTCACGATGGCAAACGGGGCATTAGAGATGAGAGGTGGGTGCTGCTTGGGCTGTAAACTTGAGGACCATAAGAACCCGTCAGTGGGGCATGGATGAGAGGTGGGTGCTGCTTGGGCTGTAAACTCGATGACCGCAAGACCGCGTTGGTGACAGATAAGAAATTCGAAAGGATCAAAGCCCATATTTGGCACTTGTAAGTACGAATGCAATTACTTGGTGGGGTTATGGTTATCCTGCAGCCCCGCAAGCGAACTTAATCACAGCCATGGGCCGCACGCTTAGTCTAGAGATGTGTTCTCATTCCACCTAATTAGCTATCAAACATCGACGCCTTTGATGCAGAACGAAGACGAATCCCTTCCTCCGCAGCAGCAAAACCATAGTTTTTAGAGATCCAGCCATCCAAACATGTTAATTTTTTGTAAAATCAGTTTTTGATTAAAAACCATGGTTTGGAAAAATGTAACCAACATCATGATTTTTGACAAAATCACTTTTGAATTGAAAATCATGGTTTAAGATCTAAAACCATGGTTTTTTATAAAGTGATTTTTTTTTTTTGAAAGTATAGAACCATGGTTTGTGATATAAAAAATAGATAAATATGAAAAACTAAAATAGATTGAGATTTTAGATTCAGAATCAAATTGAATATTAGTTAGTTCTTATATTAAGAATGAGAGGTAATATTAATTATTATATTTTTTATATACAATTTATTATTTCAAACAAAAATATAAATTAAAAAATATTTTTTCTATAATTATTATGTTATTTATGTCTTTTTTAATAATTTATACATACAAAATGATTATTATAACAACCACTCAAATATTTTCACTTTATCAAAATCATTTTTTTTTACAAAATCTATTCAAAAATATATTTTTTCAAAAGTTATCTTTAAGAAGTTATTTTCTAAATTATGGTTTGGTTTCATCCAAACACCTATAAATTACGGATTGTTCAAGTGAAGCCTTTCATTTCGAAGGCTCTCCTCTTGTTCGGAGTATTATGTTTCACTTCTTTGCGGTCGTCTTGAAACTAACCGACATTTTTGTATACATACGGAGATTTAAACTTTTTTTCCGGCCACTTGTATGAAGAAAAACAAATAGTCACGTCAATAAATAAAAAGAGATGATGACACTCACACGTTTTATTGTTGTGTGCTGCCATATTAAGTAATAAAATGAGAGGTATGAAGATCAAGATGGCCATGAATGAAGCGAAATTTAAAACTCCATTATGGGAACGTTCGGCGTTTTTTTTTTGTTTCGGCCGGAAAACAGAGTCATTTTATTAATATTTGAAAAGATGTTGCAAACCCAATAGCTTAAATGTTTAATATTCAGCAGCATGACGCTCGAAGAAGGGGTTGGTGAATGGTGATGGTAGGTATGGTGAAGGAGTCACAGTGGTCCGCGAAGTAGTGCGTGCTGGTCTGCCTGGTCATTCTTAATAATTTTGTTTAGACCTGAAAAGAGGGCGTATTCTTGAAAGCAGCAGCTTCATGTGAAAAGCATATTCCGTTCCTCAGCTCGAAAGTGACGCAATGGCTGTTGGGTATGGCTCACGTGATCTTCGGGTCTAGTTTGGTTCCGCTACTACTTTAATTTTATGGCATTGCGAACCTAACCAGCGGGGCTTAAACGCTGAATATCTGAAGCTAAGCGCTGAGGTCAAATGAGGAATCAGTGAAAAGGGTTAGGTGAGGGGGGAGTGGTCGGGCTCGACTGCACGTGCCGTGCACACACAAGGAAGAAGCCGGTGCTTCCTTGTTAGGTGTTTTCTAGTTTCTTCCGCTTTTGGCACGACCATGGCAAATAAAACTGTATTTAGTATCTTAAAATATTTTGTAATGCATCAAACACTTTAAAATATTTTTTTAAACATATTCAGTATTATGAAATATTTTTTGATGCATCTAGCACTTTAAAGTATTTTTTAAGATGTGTTAAGTACCAAAAATATTTTTTGGTGCATCCAATACTAAGATTAAAGAAATATTTTAGGGTGTTGGACGTATCTAAAAAAATATTTCGAAATGTTAGATGCACCACAAAATACTTCAGAATATAATACTGGATATACCTGAGAAAATAGTTTGAGGTGTTAGATATATCTCAAGTCAAAAATAATATTGGGGCCAATTCTATGAAATATGATAGTCAGGCTCACACGCCACTGGTTAGGACTTAGCGCTAAGGATGGAAGATGGTTTTGTCCCTAAGCTTCCCCCAAGGGTTGGTGACACCGTGAGCCATTTAGATCCCCAAAGATCACAATATTTTTATTCAACTCAACTAAACTATAATGTTCGCTTCTGTCATTATACTTTTGTGCTTGTTTCATACATCCATTATTTATGCCCACATCCTTCAGATGACTCCGCTTGCTTGGTACTGCTGGAATGTCAACCGTCAATTATTTATTGCTTAATTGGATGGTTCATTCTTATTTTTAACAGAGAGAATTACCACGAGACTACATTTTCCATCAAATTATGGCATGATAAACACAGGACTGAAAGTGCGCATATAATGTTGCTCACCTTGTTTTGAAAAAAATTGTCTATTTTATATATTTCTAACAACGAATTAATAGAATTCATTAATTCAACTCAATTATATAAAATTTTTTTTGAGTTGATCTCTCCCGGTATCCCAGGCCAATGCTATCTTTCAAGCTTTTCAATAGGTCCAGACTAATCCGGAGTGACACCTGTAAATGATCCCTTAACGGATGGCTTGCATATCACTCCACACTGCTGCGTTCCTAAACGGGATCAAATTCCTAATCTTAGTTAAGCTAGAATGACCCCACAGCCAGTCAATCTAAGCATTTGTTTGTCACAGATATGTAATTTGGGGGCTGTGTAGTTCGATTTAAAGAAAAAGCCATAAATTAGGGTTAGGTGTTGACAATAAGCACTGTCCCACTGTGCTGGAGGCATACTGTTTGGAATTGGAAGCAGCCAATTTTGGCGTTGGACTTACAGTTTGGCATATAAATTATCGGAAGCCTTAATTGAAATTAGGAGCCAACCAAAATATCGGCGACTTCTCCGATAATTTGATTAAAGCGGCTCCTTGTCTGAGTCATAAACAACTCCCTTTCCCTCTTCGCATTTTCCCTCTGTTGTTCGTTGCGGTGAATACTAGCTGCTGTAACTCTGTCATCTTCTTCTTCAGACTTTCTTGTAATAAACTCGTACGTTTCTACATCACCTCCTCGTTTTCATCGCCACCTCTATATAAGCAGGTAAATATATTTTCTCCATTCCATACTTGCTCACATTTTGCTTTTGGCCCTTCCTTCTGCTTCTTTGTTCTTGCTTTAACTCCTTAGTGGTACGTTGTTGCCTTTCATATTGATTATTTTCGACTCAAGACTTGATGGAAGAGCGAGTACTCCTTGTTTCATGTATTGATGCATTCTCCGTCTCGGTTCATCTTGATTTATCTTGTTCATTTCATATGGATCTGCTGTTTGTTTCCTTCCCTCTAAATTCTTTGAGTAATTTCGAGTTGTGTAAATAGCGGGCCAGATTTTAATATGCCAACAACCATTCACTAGTGATTCACGATATATTATTAGCCCTTTGGTTCCTTTTTTCGGGCATTTGAATGGTTTTCTAAGCACGCACAAGTTTGTTGTGTTATTCCATACGTGATTTGAACCTTTAAGGGTATATCTTGTGACTCCTGACAAATAAATCTAGGATGACACATAAACTGGCATTGCCTTGTTTTTCCAATTTTCAGAGAATGGCTGCTAAAGTCTGTCACCAGGCTATTGGAACTTTTCAGTCCGAGTCGCTTCTTAAAAATTCTAAAAACCACCAAAATCTTCGGAAGAACTCAATAAGATTGATAGCAAAGGATTTCAGCAGCTGCAATAGCTTGTCAAGGAGAGCTGATGAGAGGAATTGTTGCATAATTCGATCCTTAGCTTCTCAAACATCCCTGGTTGATCCAGTGTTATCCCCTTCAAGAAGCAGCACCGGTGATAGTTCCAAGAAATCAAGTAAGAGAAAATCTACTATCAATTGACATTCATTGCTTCAAGAGTTCGTTGTACATGTTTATAATGTTTTCATCCATCTATATGAAAAGCATTCATGTTGATTGGATTATGAAGTCGGACTGACTTCAAGTTTCACATGATTGCGACATTCATTGAGTTGAAGTTATCTTTGATGGATCTTTTTAACTGACGTTCAATTTGTTTCATGTCAGATGAAGCAGCGTTGATCCTTATTCGGCATGGTGAATCATTATGGAATGAAAAGAATTTATTCACAGGCTGCGTAGATGTCCCGCTAAGCAAGAAGGGCATAGATGAGGCGATTGAAGCTGGCAAAAGGATCAGTAGCATTCCCGTCGATGTCATATTTACGTCTGCTCTGATTCGTGCACAAATGACAGCCATGCTTGCCATGACCCAGCACCGTCGAAGGAAGGTAACAGGAATGATAACCGTCTTCATGTTTCGAAAGTGATAATATATGCTCCACTAATTTTAGCATTGAAATCTTAGGGTTTATTAGGAAGCATGTCAGGCTCTCGAAACTTCGCTTTTGAATCAGTCTTCTTAATCACTATTGGAATAACTTAGGACTGGGCGGTTTATACTGCCTCCATCGTCCAGAATACTAGGGAATAAGAAATTATCAGATTATGCTATACTATAATTTCTGCTTATGATGTAAATAGCAATATAATGATATCTAGTTTACACCGTTTGGAGAATCATATCCTTTGCTGTATTATGCTATCAATGTCTTTTGTCTGACCTTCTTTAATCATCAACCTCTATGCAGGTGCCTATCATCATACACAGCGAGAGTGAGCAAGCAAGAGCATGGAGCCAAGTTTTTAGTGAAGATACAAAGAAGCAATCCATTCCAGTCATAGCAGCTTGGCAACTAAATGAAAGAATGTAGCAATCTTTTCTGCAGTTCTCAGTTTTGCACTTGCTTTATAATCTCATGGATAGTATGTGATTGGTTTTGCAATTATTTGCCCTTTCAGGTATGGAGAGCTACAGGGTCTTAATAAGCAGGAAACAGCTGACAGATATGGAAAAGAACAAGTCCATGAATGGCGCCGAAGTTATGACACACCTCCTCCAAATGGTGAAAGTTTGGAAATGTGTGCTGAAAGGGCAGTTGCTTATTTTAAAGAGCAGGTAGGTTTTCCCCCCTTTTTCCCTGTCATATCCATGATTTTATTGAGATTTTTACAAGTAAAAACATGTTCTCCCTATTTTGTTTTCTCATCCAATGCTCGCTATGATGTTTTACATATTATATCATCATAATAAGGAAGTTGTATATATTTTTGAAATTAATGTGGGGTTCCATGTAAGTTTTGTGAATATTTAAAATGGATGGTGAATTTCAAAGCACTTTAATCTTTAATTTTTATGCTTCATGTTTGATGAGACACATGGCCTTAAGCATGCATTGTGCTGGAGATAAAAATACGAATGCTGTTTGCTAAAAAGACCAAATTTCTGGTGTTGACTTGTTAGTAATAGTGTAAAATATGAAGTTTGAGGTTGAAATGATCATATAACATTCATGTGGAGCTAATTCTGCTGATTTACCATGCAGATTGAACCCCAGCTTTCATCTGGAAAAAATGTTATGATTGCTGCTCATGGGAATTCATTGAGATCCATTATCATGTATCTTGACAAACTAACTTCTCAAGAGGTGATTGGAGTACTCAAAACCGTCACTCCCCTTGCATTCACATTCAACGCGTAAAATGGTGATGAATGTCTTTCTTTTACTGTATGACAGGTCATTAGTTTGGAATTATCCACTGGAATTCCCATGCTTTATATATTCAAGGAAGGAAGATTCATTAGGAGGGGGAGTCCCATAGGACCAACTGAAGCTGGAGTATATGCCTATACTAGGGTATGCATCGTATATCCCTTTTATATCTCCGCCCTTCTAGAATAAAGTTTTAATGAAAGATAGATATCTTTTGTCTAGAAAAATGCAATGGAACTTACAATCCGCTTGAGTTAGATTGGAAAAATAGAACAAAAATTGTCTGGTTTGATTTATTATGCCTGGAAGACGCTGACAGCTTCGATACGTGTTCACAGCGTTTGGCTCTTTACAGACAAAAATTGGATGATATGTACTAGAAATACAGGTAACGGTAACACCCACTGACTCATCTCTTCTGCTTATGCTTCTCCTACATTGTAATACGTTTATTTAACACCTTTTTAAATTGTTACAGGGCATGCGTTCTGCATTATCTGCAGAGTCACGGTAGAATCTCATAAAAATGGATAGGAAAGAAATATATGCAATCAACATTACCATTTTTCGATTGATTTGAAGTTAGATTTTTGGACGTTTAAGTACAGTTTTGGGCCAGTGGTTTAGAAGACCTGTTTCAACTGTTTTGGTACTCATCACTTAAGGACTGTGGTGGCTGAGGAAGCCTGTTGCAGAGGTTTATGGCAGATGAGAATCTTAATACCTTCAGCCGTCCGTTAATATAATTTATAAATGTAAATGAGTTGGAATGTGAATTATTATGAGTATGTTAGCTGTTTCATGAAACAAACTTATTTTATAACGTTTTCGTCCTGCGCATCTTTCCTCCTTCACTTACAATGAGGATTTACATGTTTTCATCTTTTCCTTGATCTAAGACGTGATAATCAGCGCAAGTGGAAGCAGCCGTTTGCTTCCAATAACCTTGTTCTGCTTTTCTAAGATGATCAGAGAGGATATACACAAACGCAGAAAATTAATCAGAGTATATACTCTCCAAGGTTAAACCACAGGAGTCCGTAAAGGGTCAAGTAGGATTTATCTTGTGTGTTCATAAATGTCAAATTAGAAAATGAAGAAGCGAAAGGAAAAAAAAAAAAAGGTGACTAGGATAAGTCGAAAACATCAGTTTATTTTTTGGGCCTGAAAAGTTGACAGGAGTCTCAGTCCCAAGCTCCAAGATAACGTCTTGCTACGTTACAGTTGACTGTGCAGACCTCGGAAAAGCGACGGCAGGCAATTTCTCAATCTAACGCAAATCTTTTGTGGTATTTATATCTCCTTGGTGAGCCAAGATATCCTGATCTGATTTGGCGCTCTCTAAATTCACCTCATGACTAAGGGTAGAGTCTATTTCTTCATTGTCTGAAGCACCAGAATCCGAGTCTAGCTTGATTGAATCTAAAGAAGGAGCATCATATGGGGCTGACGATGGAATGTTCACCCTTGTCCAAAAAGAGGGCATCTTCCTGTCATCCTCTCTCATCCTCTCAGCATAGATATTGATGTCAAATTCAGAGTTATTATTCCCGCCAAACGATGACTCTAGCCGGTCCATATCAAATAGATCTTCCATAATCTTCTTGGTGTTATGATCATCTGAGTAAACAAACTTGACTTTGTTATACGTCTTTGGCTCTAATAGGGGCTTTACCATCTGCACCAATACATTCTTTTACATCAGAGAATGGTACAAGCTATCAACAACTAAATCTAAATCAAAATACAAAGATCAATCCTTTACCAGCAAGAAAAATATCTACCACAATTACAAAATAATGCCTCAATCAGCAAGAAAAAGTGGACCTAAAATTGTCAGCATATTCTTATCCACTTATGCTGCATTTAGAGCTTCAAAAACACAACACAGATGAATAATACTTATAGATTTACCTTGAAGAATGGTTCAAAGAACTTGGGTGGATTGTACAGTATTGCCAAACCCAATCGTTCCGGATAATGATCTTGTAAGACATGGGCAGTTTCACGTGTCACCTTCACTGATATATTTGACAAACTGAAACCCTGGAAATCAATTAGCCAGACCATCTGTTCCTGTTCTGCTGGAAGATTTAAGATAGCATTTTCCATGCAGTATACAAGATACTTGATCTGTCCTTTTATTGACTCTGAGTTCTGCAACCGAAAAAAGAAGAAAATGGAAAGAAATATATGGAAACTCAACAAATGCATAAAACTCCTCTAAATATTGACGAAAAATCAAACTTGGACTAGATTCAGTTTGCTTGCATTCACCATTACCAAAAACTCTAACAAGCATTTGATGTAATTATCAAAGATTGGTGTAAAAGAGGGCCAGCTCTGCTTTAATTAGTTGGACATAATATATTTCTAAATATGGCCCTAACTCTCAAGCCTTCCATTTTCACTCCCACCAAGCACATTGTAAGAGTATGACTTTTATATCATTAAGCCATCATCAAAGCTAGAGGTTAGAAGTGATCATCAGAAGAAACCTGTCGACTAGGTCTCATGACAAGGACTGTTCTCCCATTCTTGTCAGTATAATTTGATCTATAAATCTTCCCTGTCTCTGCTTCATTAGCAATCTCTTCCTACATCAAGAATATAGACATTACAAACCGATTAGAAGTTGATATCACAAAATGTCACAACCATTCCAGATAAATAAGCGGACAAACCAACTTCATCTTGTCGGAAGCACTATTAAGAAGAATTCTGTTTGTTCAGGAAGAATTTTGATCAGATAAAGAAGCATAGCCAGAGCACGGCCAGAGGATATGATTGAGCGCTTTGAAAGTTTACCCAACCCTGCCCTTGCTTTCTGAATATGGGGAGAGATGGGCTCAAGGGAACAGAGATAGAACATATGAAACACCAAAACACAAAAAGAGAGGGCATATCCGAATCAGCCGCCCATACAATATGTTTATGACATGCATGTTGGACTTAAACATCTGTATACGGCAATTTTTTTTGTTTGATTCATTTTGGAACACCTTGAAATCTACTGTACATCTCAAAACGTGCTAAAATAATTTAGAAACTTGTTGGAGACCTTAACGATATGAAAGAAAATAAAGATGGATACTTAATTTGAATTCAAAACTTCCGTTTTAACTTGTTTTATGCTTCTACTTGGAATTTGTAATGGATATCTTTTTTTACATTTGAAATATTTGTTTTTGAGGCTTTCATAGTGCTGTTAAACTTTTCATGTGTTAATTTATCAAATACTCCATGTATTCACATTTTAAAATGGTATAATTTATCATATCCCCCATATCTTATCATGACATGTCCTATACATGTACTTTCTTTTTCTTTAAGCGAAACAAATACTCAGTATACAAAAATTACCTTAAAGGATGTAGTAATCCATCGCAGGCATGAATTATATATTTTTAGGAAAAAAATTGTCAGAAGTAAAGAGAAGAGAAGGATTGAATCACCCAGCGGATTTCTTCTGGTTTGTATGCTGCTCTCCATTTTAAAGTCTGTTTCAACATTTTAGTTGCCTTCTTGACATTCCAATTTCTAGCTCTTAAATGCCTTGAGATGGATTCATCAGAACAATAAATCAAGGCCTTACCGGATAATGGCCCTATCAGCTTTCTCACCTCATTGACCTGCATGGAATCAAAATATCAGACTCATGCTACTCTAATCAGAACATTGAAGTGAAATAGCTTCGGTGGCCAAGTATCAAGGTGAGGTCAGAAATGTGCTTCTTGATATAAACTATATGGACATACCTTTGCCTGTTGTTCTTGTGATTTTAACATATTGTCACAGCCATTAGTGGCAGGGCTGTCGGGATCCCCGCTCATGGTGTTCATATAAAATCTCTACAAATCATTAACGATTGCAACAATTATCAATACCAATTTTCCGGTATCTTTTCATCTTCATTCTGAATAATTACAGCATGACGACAGGCAGGAAGTCTTATATTATACTCCTCCGGTCCTTAATATAAGACCCAATTGTTGAGTTGGTTTTGATCCTAAATATAAGACCCATTTCTCATATTTGTCAATTTTCTCTAAATTACCCCTTTGGATACTCCTTCAACCATAATCAAGTAGAAGAGGAAGATGGGGTATTAAGAAATATGATTATGGTATTTTAGGAAAAATGTGTCACATTTCTTATAATTAACTAACTTACCTAACTTCCTTAATCTAATCAAATTAGTTAAATGGGTCTTATATTAAGGACCGGAGGAGTAACAAACTACTTGTCAACCAAAAAAAAAAAAAAGGATAACCAACTTAAGCATATGCATCAACAAAATCGCAAATCATTCAGTGGCAAGATGCGATCAACTTTTCAAAAGCAAAAAGCTGAACCGCTCTGTGGAATATTCTTAGAAGATTAAATGCTGAGATCTGATCCTAAGTGCCATCAATTGACTGTTTGGCAAAACATAGAAATGATAAATTTTATGGATAACGGTTATTGTCGGAAAGTTATCAAGATCACTACAATTTCTTCAACAAATTTTGCTGCAGCCATTTATTGTCTAGTCAAACGATGACCTGTACCGAGGAATCATCGCCGGCGGTCACCATCTTCTTCTAATTTCTAATATCCGGAGTCAAGTCTTTAATAAGGTAAATGTTAGAAGCAACCGGCAAACACATCAGCTCACATCAGCGCAGGTGGCAAAATTTACCAGGCTGAAAGATGCGGGCACAAATCGACATTCGCTACTCGCATAGATGTGAATTGATGTGTATGTTGGCAAAGTGTATGTAGACTTATTGAAGCAAAACTAACCAATCTAGAAGATGACCTTAGAAATCATCGCTGCAGGTCTAATTAATTCTTATTCATTCACTGACCAGTCTAATTATCTTCGGATATTTTACGCCCAAGGCTATCAAACAAATTATAAGCGAAACGGTATTCAGTCATAAACTCAAGTAAATTCACTAGCTACTCAGTAATTGACATATGGAATCAAACGGAGCTTATAGATGCAAATGAGCAGCCAAAAGCAGGGAGTCAACACAGGACAGATTAAATAAGAATAGGGAGAAAGAACGGAGAATCGAGAACTACGATGGGCGTCTAACCTGAGATGGTTCAAGATTTTCCTATCTGGCGATCAGAATAGCAGAGAAGGTACGATTCTTTCGGAGCTGAATACCCCGGAAACGAGAAAAGACTGGTCAGCCTTCTCCAGGAAAACAAGAAGAATGCCTTCGTTCCCTTTTCTATACAGAGTTTGAATTTCCAAATTTTTAAATTGGTGGGCATTGTTTCGGTCAAAAAAAAAAAATGGTGGCATTGCAAAACGACGTCCGCATCACGTTCCCATGTCCACCTAAAAGATGAAAAATAAACAAATAAGCAAATGTATTACTCCTCCGGTCCTAATTATAAGACCCAATTGACTTATTTGAGGAGATTAAGGAAGCAAGTTAAGTTGGTTATTTATAATAAATAAGTGTTGTTATTCATAAAATATCCTTGCTAATTAAGTATATTGGCTAAAACTATCATTATTAGAAGGATTATCTTGGAAAAAAATGCATAAATATAAGAGACAAAATGGATTGGATCTTATAATTAGGACCAAATAAAAAGTCAAATTGGGTCTTATAATAAAGACCAGAGGAGTATCATTCTTACATAAAATAATAATTTGACCCTTTTGCCCCCCCCTTTGAAACAGTGGTACCAACTGGTTCCTGCAAACCTAAATTTGTTCTCAGCCAAAAAAAAAAAAAGCCGAAATTTGAGGCTTTTATTCCAGGTCAAAAAAATTGAGGCTTTTGTTTATGAAAAAGCATGCATCAACCACCGGAATCAAATAGCCGTAACTATTTGACTTTATTTTTATTAATTAACCGTGTCTTCTTCCCACTTAAAATTTTGGAGACAATCACATTTTCATCGATTGTGATTTAGGGTGTGTTTGGTTAGAGGGGAGGGGAGGGAAGGGGAGGAAAAATGAGCCCCTCCCCTTATTTGGTTAAAAATTTTGGAGGGGAGGAGAGTTAAAATGTCCTCTCCCCTCCCCTCCCCCATTTTGGCTCCCCTTCAAATTGGGGGTTTTTGGAGGGGAGCCAAAATTTTGAACTATTATACCCTTATGATTTTTTTAATATTTCACTTCTACTCATAAAATATATTATTATAATATTTATTTCAAATAAAAAATATATTATCCTAAGTAAAAAAATAAAATATATATACATTATTATAATTAAAAATATATTATAAAAATTATTTAAAAATAAAAAATTATTTAAATAAAAAATTATAATATATAAAATTAATTGTTTTTTATAAATATATTATTTATTAAATATATTTTAAAGCTGGAAAAAAAGATAGCCTAAAGAAAATAAAATTTCATTTTTCTTAGAGCATATAAGATTTGTTAATTTGATTATTTTAAATATATTATTATATTAATTAGAATAAAAAATTACTATACCAATTTTTTAATACACATATTAACATGATAAGACTGAATTTTTATTAAATTATATAATTTAAATTAAGATGTAAATTAATTTATATAATATATCAATAAAAAACATAAACTAATATGTAAGGGTAAAATGGTAAATTGATTATTATTATCCCTCCCCTCTCCTCCTTGAACCAAACAAGGAATCATTAAATACCCTCCCCTCCCCTCCTTTTTAATTAAACCAAATAAGGTGAGGATAAAACCTCCCCTCCCCTTCCCTCAAACCAAACACACCCTAAGGGAGGGGCTAGCTCGGTGGGCCCACTACGTATTCCCTGATGTTGGGCTTGGGCACCCAATAAACTTCAAATCAGAATCCTAACCAAATATATATATATTTTTTAAAAGGAACAAGTTGTCTAAAATAAGCTGGTGCCCCTCCCTCAAAAATCAAAATAAAATTTCTACAAAGAGCTTCCAGTTGGCCTTGATCGTTTGATACGAGAAGATGCCTTCTGGCTAAGCTAAGTTCTAATACACTAACTTCTGCAGGTTAAAAACGAAAGACTTTGTTTCTGCTGGGTATCCGTTGTTTATTCCCCTTCTATTACCCAGGAAAAATTAAAAAGAAGAAGATATTTCTACATGCAATCCATGTGATATGTAAGGGCAGGGGTACAAAGCAACAATTTTGAAGCGTCACATCAGCGTCACATCCTAAAAAGGGATACCATGGTTGCTCATCTGTTTCATTCATGAGTTTGAACCAAATTTTGCATTTAAAATTTGTATGAAAACCTGAAATTACAATGAATAATACTGATTTCATGACTTCTTACTCTCCTTTATTCAGATATTACCCTATTATTTTTTTTTGAAAAATTACCAGAAATGTTTACAACTCAAATCTTACTTCCGACATCTCAGGAGCATATCCTCTCAGAATCCCATTCTCTCACTATCTCTTAGTAACTGATCTGAACCGTTAATGTGATTAATCCTATCCGTTCATTTTAATACTTTTAAAACCCCTTCATGACCCCTCAAATCTTAGATTTTCTGCAACTTCTTGGCATAGCTTGGTAGGAAATATTCTGAGACGCAGTATATGAGTATATGAATAAAGAAAAGTCATTTTTCATAAAAGTTAATATCTTTGGGACTTTTTCACGGGTAAAAATATTCATTGTAGAAATTTTGAAGAGAAAAATCCCAAAAAATATTTTTTAAACTTCAAATTAAGAATGACTAAAAAAATGTGTTGTCATTTATTTTTCAAATGTTAGCAAATCATGGCTAAACTTAAATAAAAACAGTCAACAAAAAATATTGACTTTTAATAGCAAAAAACAAAATCTGCGCCACCTGGAACTTTTTTATTACAAAAGATCTCTGTTAATGTAACCGGATATACACACAGGGTAAAAGCTTTGGAAGCTAAAAACAATTTGCAGGCCAAAGCAACAAAAATGAAGAACAACCATAGCCTGGACAACAAAGAAGCCATGATATATTATAACGAAACATTTTTACTTTTTATGATCAATAGCATTACACTTCCTGTTCTTAATATAAAACTTAGTTAACTAAGGTAAAAAAAACTAAGAAAGCTAAAAAATTACTTAATTATAGCATATGTTACATTATCTTTCTAAGATATATATGTATCATTATATATTAATTTATAAGCTAAACAAATTATATTGGAGAAAAATGGTAAATATAACATTATAAAATAATTTATTTAACTTTTTTAATTTTTTTAAAATTAGTTAATTGAGTTTTATATATGCTGAGAACCAAAAGTAGTAGTAATTATATAAATATAATAGTTACATCTTTTACAATGTTAAACAAGTACAATGTCATATCTTCTATAAATTACTACCTCCTGTCCTAATTATAAGACTAATTAGGGCTATAAGTAATACTCCTCCGGTCCTAATTATAAGACCCAATTGACTTATTTGAGGAGATTAAGGAAGTAAGTTAAGTTGGTTATTTATAATAAATAAGTGTTGTTATTCCTAAAATATCCTTACTAATTAAGTATATTGGCTAAAACTATCATTATTAGAAGGATTATCTTGGAAAAAAATATATAAATATAAGAGAGAAAATGGATTGGGTCTTATAATTAGGACCAAATAAAAAGTCAAATTGGGTCTTATAATAAGGACCGGAGGAGTACATATATAAGGAAAAAATCTCCATTTTAACTGGAAGAAATTCGCATCTTAAAGATTCATCTAACCGAGATTGTTGTGATTTTAGCTATGAAAAAATCTAAAAGATAATGATATTTTATGAAAAAATGAGCGTTTTTTTAAAAATCATATCTTGCCTCTCAGAATATTTTCCACCAAGTTATGCCAAAAAGTAGCGGAAGATCGAAGCATTTGAGGTGTCCTGGAGGTGCTTTAAAAATATTGAAATGAATGGCTACGATTTAATCACATTAACAATCTAGATCAGCTGCTGAGAGGTTGGCTTCTGAGGAGATCTACTTCCCGACATCTCACTGTAGATTCATGTCTTCAAATCTCAACCCCAGGTCCCACGGCAATTTTTTTATTTTTTGGGTGAAATCCCATGGCAATTTTATTCTCTCCCAATATGACCAATGCCGGTGGCAGACGTGGTCCGGTCATTGGGCTCTCCCCAGGGTAGGTTTTATTCCTTTTTTTTTGGGCCGTAATTGCATTTTACCTTTTTTTTTTTTTGGGGTCCGACTCCAGATGCTGTTGATCTTTTCCTTTTAACCTTTTTGCCAGAGAGATGCTGTTTATCTTTGCTCACACTGGGAAAATGCAAAGCTTATCTCGAAAGCGGACAATGAATAAAAAAAAATTATAATGATTTACATTTTAAAATATTCTTAAACGAATTTTAGTTTTTCATGTAAAAAAAAAAATTTTAATTTTTAATAACGAAAACTTATTCTTTAAACAGCGTTGATTGACAATTTCAATTTGCCGATCTTTCCGTCAAATGGACTGAAGTGATTGAAGTTGAATTGGTTTGATGGGCGCCATTATCATCAAATGACTTCAAATTTTAAAAATATCGAATATTCCTACTAGTATATACGTACACCCGGCCGCGGACAAACAATTGTCAAATGTTTTTGCTGGTCAAAAAAAAAAATTTGTCAAATGTTTTAAGTGTAAAGCTCTGGATTAAACATATTTCTTTTAACTGAGAATTAGATATTTAATAATTATTATATTCTTTTTTTTAACAAAAATAATTGTATTAATATCAAAAGCAAAATTTCTCCCCAGAATGAGCATATATATATGTATATATATATTAAAAATACATCGATAGAGTGTACGGATTCAATTTCATGATGAGACCCCTAATAAATTAGCTGAGGCTTATTGAAGAATCAAATCCGCAACATCAGAAAATTATATCAATTGGATACTGTTCATCCCCAACAATCAACAAATGGGAGCCTTCTTCAATTACTTTGGAGCCACCCTCGCTTGCTCTGCTAAGGTGCTCGCAGGGACTTATCTCAAATCCAACTTCCGCCCTTTCCCCTGCATCTAACATCACACTCTCAAAACCCACCAACTGTTTGATCGGATTTCCACTTCTCTGTTTCGCATGCCTCGCAAATAGCAAGACCGAATGCTTCCCCGCCGTACTTCCTTCGTTTTTAACTCCCACCCTCACTGACACTGACATGCTTTGGCACAATTTTGCCCCCATCTCTGATACTGATTTGATACGAATGGTTTCCCAATTCTCAACTATCAAGTAAGACGACGATTGATTCAAGTTAAGCTTGTTCTGCGTGACAGAGAGGAACTCGTGGGAATATTTGGAGTAGCTGAGGCCATAGCCGAACTCATACACCTTTGGGCCCCTGTAAAACCGGTAGGTCCTTCCGGGATACCCAGAAGATGGATCAGCTCGCATCCTCATGTCTGTCATTGGCACTCTTATGAAATCTTTTGGGTACCAAGTCACTGGTAATCTTCCTCCTGCATTCACATCATAAAGCTCGCCGTTCAAATTTTCTTCACTAGTGCACTAATCAAGAAGATATATGTAACTTTCATGTTTGGGTAAACTTCACTGGCACATTAAAAGAGAAAATTTAATTGACCTGGGTTGTGATCGCCAAAGATGATCTGAGCAAGCGCGATTCCTCCAGCTTCTCCGGGATAACCGGCCCAGAGGATGCCTCCAATTTTGTTGTTATCCTTGGCCGAAGAAATATCAAGAGGGCCTCCAGAAAAGATCACCAAGGTGACTGGCCTCTTGGAAGCTTGAGCAACGCTGTCTATGAGTTCCAGCTGCTTGCCAGGTAAGTCCAGGTGAACCCGATCACGATCTTCTCTCTCTTGACTTTGATCCAACCCCATCATCAGCACCACGTAATCAGCCTTCGCGGCGATGTCCACGGCTTCGCCAATCTGAGCCGAAGAACATTTGACTCCTCCATCACAACCAGGGTGATAAATGGTGTTCTTAACATAGTGCTGAAAGGCCTGCAATGGCGTCACAAGTTTACAGGGAGGGCCCTCATAGTTTCCAAGGAGCGTTAAAGAGCCAGCATTGCCGTTAGGACCTATGATTGCGAGGGAAATTGGAGGTTTTATTTTGGGGAGTGGGAGAAGTCTGGCAGAGTTCTTCAAAAGGACAATGCCATTTTTGGCTGCTTCAAGAGCTAAATACTGGTGATCTTTTGAACACACTTGATCAGGACCGATAGCGCCGAAGGGGAGTTTGGCTGGATTCCCTTCGAATAGACCCAGCCGTATTCTAATTGAAAACAGGTTGTGAAGTGCACGATCTACTTGAGATATTGGTAATTTTTTCTGCACCACTGCTGATTTAGCATGCTTCGTCAAGTAATCACCGCACTCTACGTCCATTCCTGCATATATGGTTGCTTCCCATTAATTTAGTTCAAATACCCCAATCATCAATAAATTCATCTAATCTACAACTCCATTAAAACTCAACTAAATTTAAATTTTAGTCCTTAATAGCAGAACAAGTTCTCAAACACAGCCCTTTTATATGTCATTTTTTCAAAGGACGTATACATCACGCATAGATCTTAATTTGCTTTATCTCTTATAATTTAGAAAATAAAGAAGTGCCCATTTGAATTCTGGGAGCTCATGTCAAGACTCAAGTGTCGCATTCAATTGGAGGCATCCCTGTCGTTGGCCAAAAAAAAAAAGAAAAAAGGAGGCATCCCTCTCAACAATAGGGCCATAATAATAGACGCGTCCCACTTTCCCGTTTATAATAAACAAACAATGAAGTTGTGATTGGATTGAGCATAGTGACCGTTAAAAAAAAAAATACTCCCACAACTGCACCTGTGATAGGTTGGATCCAGAAAGAGGTAGGTGAGATAGAAATTACAATGGCTTTAATACATAAACAAATTACACGTCCGCATAAGGTTCCACAGGATGTGGGGGGGCCAAAGCATTGATCACTTTAGGAGGCTTTCCGATAATATTCACAGCCAAAGCAAACCGACAAAATACTGTTAAAATCCTCCTACATTAGTCAATTCTATAGATGATTAGGATGATCATGAGAGGTTACGCACCCAACCCGAGTGTGAAAAAAGTAGCCAAGTTGATCACAAATTCCAAAAAAGCGGCCCTACATAACGAAAGGCTATAGGGTGAAAAATCTTGATGTATCACGCACAAGTGAACAAATACAAACACATAATTACGACTTGCTTTCTTGGTACTACAGGATGATCACATAAATAAAAGGGCGCAGGGAGTGTACCAGCCCGAAGGACATCGGCCACAGCGTCCTCCGCCGATCTCGCATATCCTTGATCCTTATGAAGGAGGGAGACTGCGCCACAATCGGAAGTGATGTACCTGATGGTTCCGCCCATCATAACGATCAAATTAAGATACATTATAAGCCACTTGTCGGTGTCCCTATCCTAACACTTTTCATATTTTCTTAAAAGAACCGCAATTTGAGAAGGAGGCAGATAATTACCCGTGGAAACCCCATTGTTTTCTGGCGGTTTTAGTTAGGAGATTGAAATCTGCACAGTTTGGAACCCCATTCACTCGGTTATAAGCGCACATTATCCCACTTGCTCGTCCTTGCTCCACGCAGCTCTGAAATGGAGGCTGATATGTGTCCGCTAAATCTTGCAAAGTGACCTGAAATATCTTGATCATGAGCATTCTAACTCTGAAAAAGGGTAAAGAGAATGGAAAAGTTGGACGGAAAGGGACTATACTCAAGACAGTAAAACTAGTATCAGATCCAGAATTTGTCTCTTTACTTTATCTTCTTGTTTACCTTCTGCTCAGTTCATTTCTACTTTAAATTCGCATATTGAAACGAAATTAAGTGACTGCAATGCTTAATGAGTAATCCAGTGGCATTCCAGTATCCAGGGACTTATTGTGAGGATGAAAGAAGAAAGTAAAGTGAGGCACGAAGCAGCCCAGTCAAAAACAGTAGTAGATACATACGCGAGCATCGAAGACGAAGCGATTCACACCCTTCCAGTTGTCCAAATCGTAAGCCGTGAAATGCTTGCAACAAGCCGAAGCTTGAAGATGGCCGCTGAGTTTGCCTCCCTGGAAGGAATCACCTTGTAACCCCCTCACATACGACACAGCGTACTTGGAAGTAACCTGTGGGTCTTCGCCGGCTGTTTCTTGACCTCTCCCCCATCTTGGATCTCTGAAGATGTTAATGTTTGGAGCCCAAAATGTCATGCCCGTGGCTTGCCCTGCATTATAGATTGCTCTTGCTTCTGCTCCGACGGCCTTAATCCACACACACCCATTCAAAATACACACTAAATCCCAGTAAGTAAGTGTGATAGACAAACTAACTGACCTGACCGATTCTGTACCAGAGGAGGGGGTCGAAGGTAGCAGCGGAGAGGATGACTTGAGGGAAGCTAGTGGCAGAAGAAATGGAGCCATTGAATCGGATGCCTCGTCCAACGTAGGAGACTCCGTGCAAAGCTTCATTCCACCATTGGTAGGCGGGGATACCGAGTCGAGGAATGGGAGGTGCGTTGTTAACTAGTTGAGCTAGCTTCTCGTCCAATGAGAGGCGCGACACCAGGTCTTGGGCTCTGCGAGACACGCTGAGCCTGGCGTTGCAGAATGGGTAGGATCTGGTAGCAGGATTGGACCAGTCACAGGCAAAGGGCGGCGACTGAGTGAACTCGGCCGGGGCCACCGCTTCAGAGAGCAGGAACAAGCACGCAAGTATAATGGCTGACAGCTGCATTCTGTCAAAAGTTTATTTGATGCCAACGATGACTTCGGACCCCCGCCCATCCCCTTTATAAAGACTTTAGCCTTTCTCTGTTTAATAACGGTATGTAATTAATAATGTGATGTTACAGTTTGTTCATCTCAATCATGTTTTAGAAAGTAGAGTGAGTTGGCGGAGTGCTTAACCCATCAATCAGTGGTTGGTTGGTTTAGGCTCGGGAGAATGTGACGGAAGAACACGGAATGCTTTACTAAAGAACAAACAATAGCATGAACCAATCCGAATTTATTAAATTATAAAAACAATTCAGGTTTTAAAAAAATAAATGGAGGGAAATATAATTATTATGCTGGCATATGGTTCAATTGTAAATTTTATAAGCTCTATCATATACTATATCACAAGTTTAATTTAAAAAAACTTTGATAAAAAAGAAGTTTTAAATAAAAACAAGAGAATTAGTTGTGAAGTGTAAAAGCTTTGCATTTAAATAATTACAATTGATTTTTTCCCCAAAAAAAGTCTTAATAACAATTTAAACAAATTGTAATGACAAGTTTCAATTAGAGAATAACAATATGTGAGACTTATTTTGTAATTTTTTTTCTTTTTTAAGATCTTATTATAATTTTTTTTTGGATTAAAGCATAAATATTTTTTTATTGGAAGGCAATCTTATTCAAGGTACTTTAGACACTAGATGTGGACACCTCTTTTAACAGATAGTCAAATCTTAATTCGTCATATTGTGAGGGATTAACTTTTTTTCTAAACCCAGCCTCTATTTTTTTTTTTTTTCCCATAATTTGGATGTGCTTGTGTATATATCCCCTCTTAATGGGCATCAGCGAGGGCTAGAAGCCGTTGAGGAAAACAAGCTTGGCCAGAAGCCCGGGACCATGACTTAAGGCTCTTCTCTGTGTCTATCTTTTCTCCCACTTAATCTAGACTTACAAATCTTGTATTAAAAAATATACGAGTATATATTATTCCCAGGTGTCCGCATATTTTATTTTGAATTATTAATATAATTTGCTGCTTCCTCACACTGTCATTTGGAAGGATATGAACGTCTTGCTCAAATTGTTGTCTCATCCCATGTTTGGGTTTTTACCATCTCTCCCCCTCGTATTTGACAATCTTGTTGAATTATTACCCCTCAGTCGTTTTTCATAAATAACAACCATCTTTTTTCCCCTTATCTCTAAATATAAACAATAATGGTAAGTTATCTTAAATTTTTATAGCAAATTTCTTATTTTGTCCCGTTAATTACTTATTTTAATACCCAATACATTTATAATTCATTTTTCAAACCATCATTTTTTTATCCGCATTCTCTCTCTTATTATTCTTTTTATTACAATAATTTTCTTATTCTTTTTTTCTGTGAATAAAAAATTGAGGTACGTTGGGTCTTAGGACTCACCAAGACCAGTGTATGCTTTTAAGTTCAAAAAACACTTATAGATGTACTTACAAGTTACCTACCAATAAAGTCCTCATATTAGGAATATGATTCAAACTCACGACCTTATGGGTCATGAGCCGACTCTCTTACCAATTAGATTAACTCTTCTTGGTAATAATTTTCTTATTCTATTTCTTATACTTTCTATTTTCCTATAAATAAAAGCATTTTAGAGAAAGAACTTTCAGTTTCTACCTATTTATTGTCTTTAATTAACTTTTGCATCTACATGATGGAATTTAAGATTATTTATAAGAAGCGCCGGAGAGATTGACATAATACAACAGCGTATGTGATTGTTTATATTGTAATTTTTTTTTTACAAAATATTATTTCCTTACTAATATTTCTTTCTATTTTCCCACGCCAAATGTAGTTTTGCAGACATTAAAATCGTTCCTCGCTAAGCACTTCATTGATTTCTCCTTCTTCTTCTTTTTTTTTTGCAGGGAAAAAATTACGTCCCATGCCAGTTTTTCTCGTTAATATTATGCTAAATCGCATTTTTTAACACTATTTGTATTTTCGAGAAATCAGGATGTGTTTCTTTTAATACTTCCTCTGGTTTTTAATATTAAAATTAATTGATTAATCTGAATAAATTTAAAAAAAACTAGTTAAGCTGGTTAATTATAATAAATAGATGTTATCTTTCTTAAAATATTCTTGCTAATCAGTTGTATTTGTTAGAACTACTATTATTACAAAGCTGTCTTTAAAAATAAATAAATATAAGAGATTGGATTGAAATTTTATATTTAAAATTAAAATAAAAATTAAACAAACTATTATATTAAAAAACGGATAGTATAATATTTGATATCTAATATTATCAGGTCAAATTCTCGTATTCGAGCGCCGCGGGGACCAGAAGTCCAGAACGATAAATACTTCCGAGAAAGCATAAAGGACCCGCTAGAGATATTAATTTGATATACGCTACAACACGTCGTCAGCCCAAAACTGCTGATAGAAGAAAAGCAGGCGCTTAAGATGATTAACTTTTTCTCTAAAATACTACTATCTCGTCTTAATTATAAAAACCAGTTGACTAATTTAATGAGATTAAAGAAATAAGTTAAGTTAATTATTTGTCATAAATAATAAGTGTTATCTTTTCTAAAATATCCTTACTAATCAAATGTATTAACTAAAACTATAACTATTAGAAAGATTATCTTAAAAAAAATTACACTCAACATCTTCGTGTGCTAAGGAAGGCGGCAAATAACTCCGCCAAAAGGCGCGTGCTTCCCCCCCCCCCCCAACCACCACATTCAGCAAATTGGTTAAAATGGCAAAATTCATGACCCGGACGAAATAACCCGTCTTCCCTTTTTTTTTTTTTGGGTCCTCTTCTTTTCCCTCAAATTTTCAGGGCCTTCTTCTGTATGCAGAGCAGATGCAAATCCTTTTCCACCTAAGATTACGATTGAAGTGGTAACATGGTTAATGAGTTGCCCGTGGCAATTAATAACACGCCTTTTTATTCAATTGGCCGCAGGTTAATACTCCTCCGGTTCTTATTATAAGATCTAATTTGACTTTAAGATCTAATTTGACTTTTTATTTGTCTAATTATAAGACCCAATCTTTTCTCTCTTATATTTATATTTTTTTCCAAGATAATCCTTCTAATAATGATAGTTTAGCCAATATACTTAATTAGCAAGGATATTTTAGGAATAACAACACTTATTTATTATAAATAACCAACTTAACTTACTTCCTTAATCTCCTCAAATAAGTCAATTGGGTCTTATATTAGGACCGGAGAGTACTTAATACCACCCGTGTCAAAAGCAGAGAATCCCAGCAGTATCATGTTCGTGTTAACTTCACGATGACATATTCCCACGAAACAGTGACTCGACCTTCTTCTTAAAACAAATATTCCATCCTTCCCGAGATCGAATCAGCCCCAGATCGTATCTGAAACCCATAAAAGGAAAAAGGTTCATAAAATCGAATTTGACTTGCTTATAGGAAGATAAGGTTTATGCGCGTCGCATGCTTTCCGGTTTAGCTGAGCATTGGTGAAGTAAGTGGTGGTTCTGCCCTTGATTTTAAACCTGACCACTATCGAAATTTTAATTTTAGTTGTTCAAATTGCGCATGACATCAATGCGTGCGATGCTCATTATATGTGCTATTAAATAGTAACTCTTACGATGCAACACACAAAAAAGAAAAGGAAAAAAGAAAAAAAAAAAAAAACACATGAGCGGGCGCGTAAAGATGGCAAAAACGAAGGAAAAGGGTCAATAGAACAACAATAAATGATTGAAAAAATCGACACCATGTTCATTTTCATCTGACGAGTGGGAAAATCGAGTTATGGTGAAGAGAAGACTTAAAGAGTTGTATGAATATAGTTGGCCAAAAAAGGGGTTGCATGCACATAACCTCCTTAAACCGTAAGCCATGTATAGATAAACAGCGAACAAAATTCATAACGTGGGTGATATCTACACAGATGTAAAAGTTCAAGGGGCTTTAATTATAAAATCTTGACGAAGAATTTATAAATAAGAAAATATCTTTTTTTTGTTTGTTAAGGTATAGGTATTTTTCTACTGAAGACAATTCTATTTGAAGTATTGTCAGATACTAAATATAAATACTTCTTCTAGTAAGCATTCAAATATTGGTTCACTATGTTGTGAAAGATTAGTTTTTTTTTTTTTTGTTAGACCGAACTTCTATTGGTAAGAAAATATCCTATCAACTGCCAGTGATTCGGGCTTCAGGTTGCAAAAGGCCAAAAAGATAAATGGGCCACAAGCCCAGAGTTTAACAGGAGCGGCGGCCCGTCTGGAATCACTGGGCAATAAGCAATCTGAACCACAATAGTCATTCTGCCTTCCCCGACCATACTGGGGCGTAATGTTGGACTAACTGATGTTAACTCGGATAAATCTCACCTTAAATATTCTTTGTATGTTGAATAAACCCCAACTAAATTGACCGGACTGTTAGTTGGAACGTGTCAGCAAACAAACGGTCTAAGGTGCAGCTAATCAGAACTACCTCATTATCACCAATAGTAAAGATTATCTAAACAGCGTGCCCCGATAGGATGCAGATACCTGTTGAGAAACTTCCCGTGTCTGAAGGGAGCGGTCAACGTCGCATCCGATTAGAATGACCTTATCCAATTCTCTACCTTACCCTTTCGTCATTTTTAAATCGGCAGTTGGGAATACCCGTATGTGTTTGTTACTAAAGAATATGGTATTTAATCCTAGCAAGCAATGGTTTCCCCCCTGGATATAACTAGGTCATAATTAATAAATAAATCGATATATCCAACACTCCTTTGAATCCCAGTCAGTCTCTTCCGTGGATCTGCGAGTAAAATGTGAACTTGGAGTGGCACGTGGCATCCAGACGTGCTTGGAGATTCAAATTCCCATCGATGTCAAAGTGCGGGCCGGCACGACGAGTTTGATTCAAGCGCCATTGAATTGGTGGAACACGAGACACACAATTGTAAGAGAGGAGAGAAAGGTACGTGTGATTTGATGTTTCCATGCTGCCACACCCCATGAACCCAGAAAATTATTCATTGCGCTGAAAGAAGCAGATGAAGGAAGCAGAATGACTCGTGGCGCAAATATGAGCATCGGATTAAGATGAAGCACATGATTTTTCAAACCGA